AAAGAAAGTAAATTGACAAGAAGAAAAAAAGATAACCAACTAGCTTCAAGGCTAGTACCTCCCTAATCCAAAATTCCCTTTTAATTTTTCAGTTGCCCAAACATTCCTTGTCAACCCTTTTAAGCTACAAATCTCTCACTTAACAGAATTCCCTTAAACAATCTGTAGACGACATCCCAATACCTTACAGCACTAATATGCAATTTAGGACCATCCTTTGTTTGGTAAATCCTACCCCATCCTCTACTCACTCTCCTACTTTCCTATGTAGACATGCATGTAGAGTTCTCATCATTACTCCCCCCAAAGAGAGCCACCTTGCCTTCAAGGTGAACAAGGAAATTGAATATCAATATTGGTGAAGTCCTCATAGTGTTCTCATAAGTGGGCACCTTCTATTTGATTACTAAAGGAGTTACAAGTTTGCAACACTTCTTCCAGTTCGAATCATAAAACAAATCCTCATCTAATGCTTCGGAAGGGGTTGGCATTAGGCGTGGGTACTTGCTTTTTTTGAGCTACGAGACATGGAAAACATCATGGATGCAAGCTTCTAGTACTTTAAGCGGTAGGCCACTGTGCCATCTTTATAGCTACAAAGGTTATAAAAGCAGGGGCTTAGTTTTTCATTGTAATGTTTAGCCAAGGAGCAAAGATGGTAGGGTGTGACTTCAAGTAGACTAAATCCCAATTTCCAAACTAACTTCTCTTTACTTGTGATCTACATATCACTTCATACAACCTTGGGCTTTGATAAAGATTATATTTCAAGCTTCCAAAATGACATTGAGAGTTCCAACTGATGGTTACGTATCTACTATAGATCCATGATATGAAAGTTTAAAGATAATCATGGATCACGACCATAAAGTGCCTTAAAGGGGTCATACCAACGGAGCTATTGTATGTTGTATTGAACCAAAATTTAGCCCAGAATTCATTTTGGCCAATGTTGTGGCTGATGTCTCACAAAAAATCGAAGGTATGTTATACACATCATTAACCACTTCCAATTATCCATCCATTGCAGGTGGTAGGCCGAACTCATGCAAAGTTGTGTTCCCGACTGTTACAAATTCATCCCCAAAGTGACGACAATATTGATCGCGATTAAGACAATCAATTGTGGAAACCCAGTAACCTCACAATCTCCTTAATGAATAGTGCCATTGCATCCTTAGCGTGTGTACAGGTGCTTTAGAAGCAAAAAGTGGTTGTATTTGGTCAACCTATCAACAACCACCAAGATATTGTCGATATTTTTGACTTTTAGAAGACCCGTGATGAAATCCATATAAATTTTCCATACCAATGCTGGCACAGGTAGAGGTTGTAAAATCTAGCCGGACTCGACGCTTGATACTTACTTTGTTGGCAAATAGAACAGACTTGGCATACTCATGAACATCATTTTTCATACCCTTCCATAAAACCACATGGTGGAGCCATTTATACATGCTGAAAAATCCTGGGTGATGGCCAAGTGGTGACAAATGAAACTCATGTAGGAGTTGGAATATGGGCCCTTCCTTGGTAAGACCAATCAATCATGATAAAGGGATGGCTCTCGCCAATTATACGATAAACCACATTAGGATTGATAATAGTCTTGTATAATACCCTACAACTTGTTATCTTGTGAACAGCTCCCTCAAGTTCTTCCAATCCAACATATAACTCACCGACAATCTGTGAAGTTCACCCATTTCCCCTCTCCTAAACAAAGCTTGGCCGCTCTATTCTCTATTTCGGCTTGGATCACAAAATCAATCAAGTAGCTTCACAACCCATTTGTATTGGTTTCACCACTAATCATTGTTCCATAAGAAAATAAACTCGCTGATGTTCTAATGATGAAATGTCGACCCAATAAATAATGGCGCCATTTGAAACCATCACAATGCCATCAATTCTCTTTCGTAAACCAACTTAAGATTGGATTGGAAAGAAAACTCTTTGCTCAAAAAACATTTCTTTTTGTTAGCCACCAACTGATTTTCTTCAAGTATCAATGGGTGTTTCAAATGTTGGAGGTGATCCTCTCTCGGTTACTTAAACCAAGATATTCAAAGAATACTAAAATGAACCCACAAATAAGGTGGATGCATTCTTAAGGCTTGGAAAGTAGTCGATGTGTTGGTAAGCTGAAAGGCATGACTAGAAATTCATAACATCTCTCATGTGTTCGAAATGTCATTTTGTGTACCCTCATCCTTAACCGAATCTGATGGTATCCCAACTTTAGATCCAACTTAGAAAAAATGTTAGCACACCCAGTCATCAAAAAAACTCATCCACCACAGGAATAGGAAATTTATCCGGAACCGTCATTTGTTTAGAGCCTTATAATCCACACAAACCTTCATCCCCCATCTTTTTTTTTTTTTTTTAACTAGTAACACCGAGCTAGAAAAGGGACTAAGGCTGGGTTTTACAATTCCTAAGGCTATCATCACCACCCATAATCTCTCAATTTCATTCTTTTGGTAGTAGGGTTAACATAGGGTGGTGTTGGGGTTAGGTACCGAAAAGGAGTCTAATGGAATGATCCTGTTCCTAGGTTGTGGTAACCCCAAAGAGGACTAAACACTAACTAAAATTGGTCCAAGATTGATGGTCTAGATTGATAATAGTGGGCTGACTAGGGGTGAAACCCGAGCCAAGCCGCTTGGAGCAGATCGAGCTCGGCTAATGGATTATTCAAATTCACTCGACAAAGACAGAGATCTGGCTATTACAGTGTCAACCGAATTTAATCAACGGCTACTCCTATTGAAGCTCGCGAGCTTGAGCCAGCTCACATGTTTATTTGCAAGTTTTAAATGTATAGGGGCCATATGAATATGTTATATTTAGTTTTAAAAAGTTGCAAATCCACCCCATTCAATAAACTAAATAAAAATGACTAACCACACCTTAAATCCCTAATTCTAAATCAAATTACAAACCCTAACCCCATAAATCTGTCCCTATTACCTTGTTCTCGGCTCAACGTCATTTTCTAGTCGTTATTTTCCCTCTCCATTGATGCATTATGCTTCAACTTCTTCTCCTCGCTTTCGTTTCATTGTCTCAATCACTCTCAAACGCTCAACCTCTCAAACCACTCTCACTTTCAGTCTTAACTCTAACTCTCAACCTTTTAATGTCAATCTCGCCTCAATGGACTCTCACAGTGGGGTAGTTATCGGAGAAGTGGGAGATTGATTCATTAAGTGGTTCTAAGGTAGAGGAGCTAGGTAGCTTGCTTCTTCTTTGAGTTGAATATGGAGTATTATGAACTTTCAAGTTTCAAGTAGTATTTCTATAGGTGTAGCTGTGTGGGGTGAAAGATTGGTTCTATTATGTTACGTCTGTACCAGGTACATCATTGCCAATCATGGTGACTGGTGAAGGAAATTAGTAAATAAATGAGTTTCTTACTTTGGGTTGTTGAAAGTCTGATGGCATTATTGTCATGGTGAATGAAGCTAAGGCCATTTTGCTGGTTTGCTTCTGGTTCAGTTCTTTATCAACAGAGGTTGACGGATAAATATATAGAAACTCCCAACTATGCGTTTTTACTTTAATTTTTTTTGGGACTTTGATAATTTGCAAACGTTGAGTTCAAAACTCAGATGATATTTATGAATTCAAACTCGAGAGTCACGACTGAAGCTGTATAATTTGGGTTGTTTTATTGCTGATAAAATTGTCATTGTGTAGGAAGCTGCTATTAAAATCTCCTCCAGGACTCCTCTAAAAAGGGTGGTCAAGAATCAAGATTCATTAGTGGCACAAGCACAACCAAGGGTGAGCATTCGGTAAAACTTAATGATTTTGAGTTTGTGTTTTATCTCCAATTGATTCTGAAGATTGTTGATTCTGAAAGAGTTGAGATTATAATCAGTAAAAGAGAGTCTTTTATGTTTATTATATGTTGATTAAATAAATCAGATTTGGAATTTGTGTGATCGGTCTTGTTGTTTATTTGTATGTTGATTAAATAAAATCAGATTTGGAATGTGTGATGGTAACTCTTGTATGTTTATCTATATGTTGATTAAATAAAATCGATTTGGAATTTGTGTGATGATGGTGCTATGTTGTGTGCCTTAATGAACTTTTAATTTTTTAATTTTTTTCCCTTTAGCTGGGTGTTAGGTTTTGATATTTCCAATACTAATAGTGTTATATTTTCCCTTATAGGTATGGATTCCTCATCTGGTTCTTATGCCCGTTGGATGAACACTTAGTTGAGGTTCAAATTGAGACCACAAACACAACCCCACAACAATAGGACGAAGTTGAAACGAAACAGAGCTAAGACATTGCATCTGGAATGAATTTACAGAGGTGGTTCTACTCCATGGTACAAAAAGGCAGAATGCAACCATTGTAAAGCCAGACTGGCCATAATGTACCAAGCACTAATCAATTTTCTAGACATCTGAATGTGTGTTACGGCGAATGGTGGCCATGAGATAGCAACAACAAATTAATTTTCCCCATCCGATTCTGTATGGGGCAAATTGAGATGTCAACTCAATAGATGGGAAGTTTGATATGACAGTTATAAGGGATGTGGCAATTGGGTGCTTATGCATGAGCAACCATTCACAATTGGGAGGAAGACGGTTTAAACAAATTGTTAAAGTATCGAAGCCTTGTTGGGAAAGGATATCGCGTATACTAGTAAAAATGATTGTGTGAAGGTGATGATATGGAAAAGAAAAAAGTTGAAAAGTGTTGATAAAAAAGTTTGACGATTGATTTTGGAATTCAGGCAACCGAAGATTGAATACATGGTTCTAACGAGGCATTGGATAGATTCTAGTTGGAGGTTGACAAGCATGTGCTCAGTTTTGTCATTTACCTCTCCCCGGGGTGGGATTCAGATTGCGATTGTATATTAGAGTGTTTAAGGGAATGGGGGATGAAAACAAGGTCTTCACGATCTCAGTTGATAACGCCTCAAGTAATGATGTGCATTAATATAATGGTGCAAGATGGTTTACTAGATGGCAATTAAGCCTAGGTCTCAGCCCTCAATTAAGAGCGTTTTAGCCAGAAAAGAAGCTAAGTGGAGAGTGGACATGGCTGTTGCAAGGTTATTTTATGATTCTTGCATCCCAATTAATGTTATTAATTCAATTTATTTTCAACCTATGGTGGATGCTATAACTGCAATTGGTCCTGGGTATAAAATCCCAACATATCATAATTTGCATGTAAATTTATTGAGAGATGCTAGGAAAGAAGTGCAGTTACTTGTTGATGGTTATAAGAAAACTTGGGAGGATGTTGGATGTACTTTAATGGCTGATGGTTGGACAGATAATTCACATAGGTTGCTGATTAATTTTCTAGTGTACTGTCCTAAAGGATTGTGTTTTGTGAAATCAGTGGATGCTTCAGATATTGTAAAGGATGCTACAATATTGTTTAGCTTGTTTGAGGAAATAGCTTTATGGGTCGGACCAAACAATATTGTCCATCTTGTCACTAACAATGGAGCAAATTATAAAGTTGTTAGAAGAATGTTGTCAGAAAAATATAGCAGTACTACTTGGTCTCCTTGTGCAGCACATTGCGTTAATTTTATGTTGAAAGACATAGCTGAGATGAGTCACATAGTTAACCTTTTGGAACGTGCATCTGAGCTTACAAAGTTTGTGTGTAATCATTCCTTTATGCTAGCTTTGTTAAGGGAAAAATAGGTTATATACCTTTACCTCATATGTTTATAATTTACATTGTCAAATCATATTATATATGTACATTTTTTAATAATTTACTAAGTACTAACATCTGTTGTCTATCACTTGAATAGGTTTGGATAGAAATTATACACCCAGGTGCAACCCGTTTTGCCACAACCTTCATTGCATTGAGCAGCCTACATCAGCACAAACATGACTTGGAATCTACAGTGACAGATAGAACTTTTGTGGAGTCTCGATGTGCAAAAACTAATAAAGGCAAAGCCTTTATTTCCATAGTTCTAGATAACTAATTTTGGGATGACATTGGTATAATTACCAAAGTTGTGAGTCCATTGATGCATATGCTCCAAATTTTAGACTCATATGAGAGGCCTTCAATAGGATATGTGTATGATGGCATGTATAGAACGAGGATGGGGATCAAGAAGTTGTTTAAGAATAGGAAAATCTTGTACAAGCTTTATACAACAATTATTAAGATGCGTTGGGATAGGATGTTGCGCCGTGATATCCATGCAGCAGCATATTATTTGAATCCTGCTTTTAAATATGACGATGATACTTTTTCCAAAAAACCTGAGGTCATGTATGGTTTCCTTGACACTATTGACAATAAAGCAAGTGCATTCAAAATTAGCAAGACAACGTTACTGGAAGAGAGTAGATTATATCGAGACCGTCTAGAAAGCTTTTCTCGTGAGCTTGCTCTTCAAACTTGCAAAACTACACGGCCGGGTATGTAATAGTTATTAAATATTAACTTTTTAAGTCTAATTTTTAAGTTATGAAATTGTGTTTATTTCTTATGTAATTTATACTTTATTCTAATTAGATGAATGGTGGACGACATTTGGATTTAGTGCTCCAAATTTGCAAAAGTTTGCAATCAAAATTCTAAGTCAAACTTCGGCCTCTTCTAGATGTGAGCGAAATTGGAGTGTTTTTTAACGCATACATACTAAAAAGAGGAACAGATTGGAGCATCCATGGTTAAATGATTTGGTTTTCACTCATTATAACTTACGTTTGCAAAATATGTATAAAGCCTTCTTCATTTTGTTATTCTTATTGATGTCTTTATTGGTCATGATTTGAACATTTAATTATGTTAGTTCAGGAGTTGTTACAAGAAAATTACTTATAATCCTGTTGATTATGAGAGTATTGATAAAACTGCATGGTGGATAGTTGATGAGGAAGAGGAGGTTGGTGAGCTTAATTATGATGAATTGGAACAATCATTATATGGAGAAGGAGCTATTCTTGTAGATGGTGGTGATCACCCTTCTTATTATGACTCAACAGATGCTTCAGAAGGTTGTTTTCAATTTTTTAAGCAATTTCAATTTGGTAGTAGCTACTTTATATTCAGTTAGTTTTAATGAGAAGATTTAACTTATGGTTTTCCTTTTTTGCTAGAATTTTTTGTAGATGATGTTGCCGATGTTACTAATGATGACAATCATCTGTGAGATGATGTGTGAACTGTAAATTTTAATTGAGGATGGAATGATGGATTGAAGACCATTGGGTGAAAATGATTTTTTGTTAGAATATTGAAGTGTTGAAAGAAGTCAAAAACTATTATATTATGTGATTTCTTCCTTTAATTTGTTATTTTGATTTGTAATTTGTTGTATTACTGATGTAATGATGTTTGATGATGCTTTGCTAAGGTCTTTTTATTCAGGAGTTTATGATTTGGATTCAAATTCAGCAATTTTGCATTCTGTGAACAGTAACATTGCTGATGTCACCGGTCGACCCGGGACCCGGCCAGCTCGCCGGGTTTTGTCCCGGGTCGGTTTTTAAAACATTGCTTTTTATTATGGATATTTAACATCATTATTATGATATATTTTAAAATATTTATTTTTAGGCATAATTATCACTATTATTGTTATAAATAAATAAAAATATATATTTTATTTCTAAAGCTATTTTAGGATGACAAATATAACCTACACCATTCTTCAAATTACAAAATAAACTTAAATAGATATTTAATTTATTAAATAAATAATGTAATAAATTTATAAATATATTGAAAAAAACTTTGAATTTACCACCACCATTAGTCAATTGCCAGTCAACGAGCAATTAACACTAGAATACATGACGCATTTTCGACATTTTATTTTTGCCAGCCAAATGAAATGTTGAAGTCCAATGAAACATTGGATTTTGACATATCGTCACCCTCTGGTCCCGATGGGACCGACAGTGGCGTAAACGCACCATTTGTCAAGGTGTTGATAGTCAGATAACCAAATCATAAATTTGCAAATTTGTTAATAGTTAATTAATAAATGATTTATTTAATAAAAATTATTTAATTACATTACAAATTTAGAATTATAAAAATATTTTTAAAATTGATAAAATTTATTTTATAAATATTTTCTTAATTAAGGTTGGTAATGGGTACCCCAAACCTAACCTAAATAAAATGGGTTAAGATTTGGGCAATCCAATCTCACCCCAATTCTAATTGAGTTGGGTTTGGGGCACCTCAAATGGGTTGAAACCTAAGAGACCCTAACCTATTTATGCATGTTGATTTTTATTCTGAGCTACTATTGCTGAAGTTTCAACGTTTCTTGATTCTCCTTTCAAGGTAGTATGTCGTACAGCTTCTTGTCTAACCGTCGAGTAATTTCTTCCAAATTTGGAATCGGGTCTTTGCATTTTTTTATACTTATTTTGACTTTTCTTTTTTTGAATGAAGGAAGATAATGTTTTAAGAGAGTTACAGCAAGCAAAATCGAAATAAACCCAAAAAAGCCAAATAACCCATAAACTAATAGACTCTTGTATTAATATTTCAGCAAGCAAAATACACTAGTAATGAAACTAGCAATTACTACCCAACAACACAATCAAATAAATAGCAAAACTCAAACAAAAGAAATTAAGATAGTGCTGGACTTCGAGGGCCAACTCCTCCCTAATTGCTAACTTCGAGGGTTAGCTAGCTCCTCCCGAATTTCCTTATATTCTTCTCTCTTCTAATCTACTCTCTCTCTCTCTCTCTCCCTCTCCATAATTGAATTCCTTTGCTATCCCAACCCCCAATCGCCACCTGTCCCAACCAAAACTCATGGAAGTTTCCTGTCAACATCCCCTCAATCCACTACTTACTACCTATTTCCCTTTTCCTACACCCTCATCATCCAGGTCTCATCATTACACTCCCAAGTAGTACCACCTTGCCCTCAAACTGGGAAGATGGAAATGGTTTACTTGACACCATCCTGCTCTTCCACTCTTTCACCACCCTCCTCTTCCTCATCTTCTTCATCCACCAAAAGCACTTGGAACTACTTTTGTCCGCAGCGGTGTCCCGGATAAAATTTGGCATCACATCGGAAGCAAGGGCCTTTTTTTTTTTTTTGAATCTCATCTTCTGTCATTCGTAAAAAACTGGGTTAAAGTCAAAGGGTCGTTACACGAATGTGCTGTTGTTTTGATGACTGGTGGTAAGAGCGGTGCTCGATTGTTTGTCATCCTATGATTGGCTCACTGTCAAGGAGTTACTGGAATATCTCGGCTGGCTAGAGTGGTTTGTGTTTTGGGTTAAATGGGACTGGACCCTAGTCCCATTTTCTATCCTATGATTGGCTCACTGTCAAGGAGTTACTAGAATATCTCGGTTGGCTAGAGTGGTTTGTGTTTTGGTTAAATGGGATTGGACCCTAGTCCCATTTTCTATTGACCTGATTGCTCTACCCAACCCAAACTCAGTTGCATTAAAACCTTTGCCCAGTCCATTATCTATTAAATTAAACCCTTGACCCAAACCATTTTCAGCTGAACTAAACCCTCAGCCCAATCCATTCTCTAATGACCCAAGCCATGCCCATGACTAAGCCCATTTAGCCCAAACTTCAACTCTTCTAAAGCCCAATTTTTATCCTCTATATTCTGTGCCAATTCAATAAGTTGTATCAATGAATTAGGCTGGCCCAATCTCACCTCAGCCTTAATATCAGGTTTCAGCCCATTTACATAAGCAACCCATAAAGTATCTTCTTTTTCTTCATTTAACATGGTTGAGATAACCTCAAACTCTCTCCGATGTTCCTCCACCTCTTGTAGATGTTGAATACCCAACAAGGCTTCATAAGGTCCTCCTTCTTGAGAGCAGTTAAATCATTGCAATAGGGCTAATTTGAGGGTTGTCCAGGAAGTCACTAAAGCCTATGATTAAATCTATTGAAACTAATTAACAGCCTCTCCGTTCATACAGATTGTTGTCGTTGGTAACTTTTCATCATTAGAAATCCCAATGATGTTGAAGTATCATTCCGCTTGGAATAAGCATCCATATGGATCTTTGCAAGTGAAAATGGGAAGTTCAAGTTTCCGTTCCCCTCTTTTTGCACAGTAATGCCCCAAATCATTGTACCCTCTTTCCTCTGTTTGATTTCCTAGTCTCCAATTGTGAATAGTTCCAGATGACTTTGAAACTTCTGGCGATTTCTCTCAATCTCTTCGCCTTACTTCTTTTTCATCTTTCGTTCTCATCCAAGCTCGCATTTCAACTAAACGCTTTTTGATGTTACCTATCTCTCTTTCAACGTTTTCTATTATAGCTTCCATTCTCGTACCAACCATCCTACAGCTGAACTGCTCTGATACCAATTGATAGATACCTCTCCCAACTCAGCCAACCACAACGGAAACAACAAGCAAAATTGAAATAAACCCAGAAAAGCCAAATAACCCAGAAACTAATAGACTCTTGTATTAATATTTTAGCAAGCAAAATACACTAGTAATGAAACTAGTAATTATTACCCAACAACATAGTCAAATAAACAGCAAAACTGAAACAAAAGAAATTAAGATAGTGTTGGACTTTGAGGGCTAGCTCTTCCTTAATTGCTAACTTCGAGGGTNTGGGGTTTTTCAACCAATTAGTCAGTGAAAATGTTGCTAAAGTTTCTCAACCTAAATGGTTTTCTGCTTTTGCATCTTATCACACTTCTTTTATAGTGTCTTGATTTGTGCCCCCATGGGCACCCTTTGTTGACAAGAGGTTTTGAGGGTAGAACTTGGTCGTCATCCATTGGCCATTTGGTCTGTTGATGGATAATTCCTTGTCAAACATCCCTTGCATCTGATAATTCATAGACTTATGAACTTATCATTTCATGTCACTTGGTTAAACATGGCCTATGTTTCTTCCTCAGTGTGAATTCGCATCTAAGAGTTCCTCTGGTCGAAAGGGATGTTTTCGCTTATGCCTTAGGATTAATTCCTTATTTCTAAAGAATTTCAAGTTTCTGACACCCAGGAGACACCGAGGCACTGTGGAAAATCGAGAAGTTGAGATCGGAGTCCATGAAGCAGCACACTCTTATGACTGGGTTTTCATGTGCTAAGGTAATAATTCTGGATTATCTATAAAAGTGTGTTGTTTCAGTATGAGAATTACTTTTGATATGTAAAGTGTAATGTCATATCACAGTGTGACTTTTTTCGCTTGCCTTTGGCCTGATCAAGTATGTTTTGATACAGCTCAGTGCATGACTATCTTTCTCTCATTGTTGTTTTCTTTGCAGGGTCTTTTACTAGATCGCAAGCCTGAGGAAGCTGCTGCTATCATTCAAGTTCTTAATCAGGTAAACCAGGTGCCTTTTGCTTGGTTATAATAGAACAGAATTTGCAAATATCATTCCCTCCAAAACATAACGGAAAATGTACCTTTAATAAATTTAAAAGGAGATTATCATTTTAAGAAACATAATGGAAAATTTCTTTCTTTGCTGTTCTTTAAAATGTGAGTTTTATTATTCAACGCAATCATTTAGGGCCTGCTATCAATACAAGTCTATTTACTTGCTTGCATCAAGATTATATTTGCTGGGTGGCAAAAAATCAAGGAGGATATTGGTCAGGCATTAAACTTACATTTTTATAATATTATATTATAGTATTTGGTGCTTTGGTATTGTATTATTTTTAGTGTTTCATCGTTGCATGGAAGCATTATATAACTTCACTATATGCCTTCCAGACTTTATCTGATGCAAAGAAGTCGGGTATTATGGTTGAACTTCAGAAGCTGATAAGTGACTGGCCTTTGGACGTTATAAAGCATCAAAAAGAGGAGGACAAGAAGGTTTGTCTTGAATATTATATTTATGCTACTATCTATTTCAATAGTGTGTATGTAGCTAGGAGCTAAGCTCACTAATTTATTATCGTTCCATTCTATTGAGCAGGCATTAGCTACTGCTTTAAAATCTGATATTCCTGCCATGGTTACCACTCTTTTAAATGGAGGCTTAGAGGTGAGTGTAAATTTAGAAGACTTGACAACGAAAGAAAGTATTCTGGCTTAAAGTGCAAGTCAATGGAAGTGAAGCACATCATTTTCCAAGGGCTCCATTGCATCAATCAAATGGAGAAAGGCCATTTTTCAGGCACAAATAGCAGAGAAACGGCTCTTCAATTATTGCACCTTTTACAAATGACACTTAAAAACTCCCCAGTTACTTTCTGACTCCAAGAAAAAGATCCCATTTAATGTTTTCTGGATGTAATATTAGAATCATTGAATTCAGCCATAGCTTTTGTTCAGTTCCATGTTAATCAGTTCTTAAAATATTTCTGGAATTAGACTGGGGTAGCCAAATCTAATTTCATTTTGAATGATTTTGTATCACATTCAAACTGGGTGCTTTCTTTGTAATAACACAAGATTGTTATTTTTTGTTTATCTCGTTCAATTGGGTATTAGAGTACAAATCCCGTTTTGCCCTCTAAATTATCTGAATTTATCCTTCAATATTATGCCCTTTTTAAGTAGTAAATTGTATTAATAGTACACATGATCAGTGTTTTAAATCTTGGCTTAACAATTTTCCTAGTCACCAAAACCCTAGAATTTGGGATGATGATGAGTCAACATTAGCATTGGTGAGATCTAGCCGAATAGATTTTCTAGGAAATAGGTTCAAGGGATGATTGAGATTGCATTTGGTATGTTATCATTGCCAACTGGTCAACTGTTGATTAGTATTTGGGGTGTGTTTGCTAAATTTTAAACTTATAAGGACTTGACAGATTTTTAGGAGTGTACTTGTTGAATTTCAAACTTTTTGACATTTGATTTCACCGGCCTGTCAAACCAGTCAACCTGGGACCCGGCAGCTTTGCCGGGTTTCACCACGGTTGGTTATTAAACATTGCACATGATTTTAGTTACTACAGTGATTGATCCATTTTGAAGGATTCATAAAAACGTTAGAAGACAGCACAATCTACTGGTGCAAAATAAACCGCTTCGGTGCCATTGCGAAGATCATATGAAACATAATAATTCCTCTGCTGAACATTTCCAAGTATAGACAAAGGATTCTTAGACCTCAAAATTGCAAGGCACCAAACCCCAGTTTCCACTTCTTCATATGTGGTCTCTTTCGTGAGTATCAGATCAGTTGCATTTAAATGAAATGTTACATCTGGTTGCGAAACCAAATCCTCAAAAGAACCTTCAAAACACAGTTCCAGTTCTTCCCCATAATTTCTCCTTTGCGGTAAGTTTATTGCTTCACTTAATGCATTCACTAAAGCATCAAACGCCTCTCCTTGAAGTAATGTGTATGTGGTTCCTGAATCGATGATGAATCCTCCTTGTCCATTTTCTGTTATATCAAAAATCCCACTTGGGATTTGTAGCTTTTCATCACCAACACTGATTCCTTGGAGAGTCAGATAGTAGTATTGGTTGTTTGATCCAATTACTAATGGAGCTTGGCCCCCGAGAAATTCAGTTTCTGATCCAAAATACATTTTGCTTCTTGTTCCTGACCACTGATTATTTGTAGGTATCACCATACAGTATGCAAACTTTGTATAGTTCAATTGAGAGACTAACGATAATGGTCGTCGGGTAAGTCCTACAATCCCAGTTTCATTTCCTATGACAGGTCCAGATGCATCATCAGAACAACCAAAAATCAAATGATCAACATCCATAGCATTCTTATAATCATCCTCGAAGCTAAATTTGTCGACAGAAAGGGTTCCTGTCGTAGTTAATCCGTCGCCATATTTTTCTATGTAGTAGCAAGAGCCCTTCGTGCAGAGTCTCTTGTTCATGTTTAGGCTATTGCAGGAGGGTGAAAAACATGACAGTTTCTTGTAAGAAGAAGACTTAGAGGGGTCAAAAGTATGTGGAGTTTCTTCGTGGCGTTGTTTGCGCGGCAAACATTTGACCCAAGTGAGTTCACTTCCAGTGTCTGCTAAAGCATATACTTGTCTCGGAGGAGTGCCTATATAGAATGTCATAAAGTACTCACCATCATCAGGAACAATGTTGGGTGAAATATCGCTGATTAAGGAAGGTGAAATGAGAAAATGGAAGCGATTGAGACGTGAAAAGGAGCGATGAACTGCTGATCGGATACGATCAGAGGTGGTAAGAGAGTGGTTGTGAAAGGGTGATAGATGTGAGTTGCGGTGGATCAAACGAACAGTGAAGCCATCAATATTAGTAGAATTTGTAAGGTGTGGAGTTGATGGAGGAATGAAAATGGAAATTGTAAAGAAGAAAATGTTGAGAAAGAGATACAAGCAAGCCATAATGTATGAGAGAAACCAGGAGCGGAACAGTACCTTTTCTATACATGGCGCTTAGAGAGACTATACAAATTTAATACATGCTGGATATCTGCTAGAAATAGTATGGAAAAACATCAAGAGTGTGAAACACTTTTTGGCATAAAAAATAGTAAGTCTAAATCATTTGGCTCAACTAGTACAACCTGTTTTTAACCAAGACCTTCCCCCTCTTAGGCATGTCTCATTAAAGGATTCTCAGAGCTTGAAAGAAATATAGATGTCATTTTCTGATGCAGAGTTGAAAAGAGTAACATTGGCAGCTTCAATGTTCATTTACTTTATAAATTGGATATGTTATATAATAACTTCTTTTTCAGTTTTCAATTCTTTTGCCATGAGATTACTACCAAGAAGCAAAACATGGTCTCTTGTTTCAACTGCTAAACAAGACGCCGTCGATCGCAGAAATGATTATAGAAATAGAAGCAATAACAATCCTATCTCCACTATTTTCTTCATTAAATCAATACCTAAAAAGTTCAATTTTAACAGGTAAATTGTTTCTACTTTGATCTTCTTCAAAGTGTGTTGCCTTGACAAAATATGTTTTTTCATATAACTAACTAGCTACTTGTAAATGTAGACCTCTTTTTCTATACCAATTTTCACTACCCTTCTTCAAATAAAACCCAAAAAGAATCACAAGCTATAACATAAGTATGTCTCTCTTAATCTTCTCAATAACGATATTCTTATTCCCATTCACTAATGCAGTAACTGTTAACATCAATAGGCCATTGTTAACGGCAACATTTGCAGCCAAAACTTCAGTCCCCTGCTCAAGGAAGATCATGAAAATATCAGTCACTAACCTTTGTCGAGCCAACAATTGAATCCCGAAGAACACAATGTCGCCAGAGACTGTGACATTAATGGAGGAACTTTCGTTGGAAGACATAGACACCCTCCCTTTTGCCACCATTGATGTTGATGAATTCTTCTCCTCCTCCAATCTTTCTAACTCTTCTTTAAGTGCCTTAATATGTTCAATTGTTTCACTAACAATCTTCTCTCGACTTGCCTAGCAAAACATGGATTAAAATTGTCACTACCATGAGCAAAACAATGGCTTCCCACATTTAAGATTACTACATTACTTTAATCTAAGAAACATAAAATAAAAATGAGTATAAATTGTTGAAGGGAAATGAAAACTACTCATTAATAGTCTTTAAAATTTAATTAAAATTTCAATGAAATCAGTCAATAAGAGCATCAAAATCAAAATGAGTGTGTTAGAAGAAGAAAGCAATTAATTAACCTTGGGGAGTAACTCTTTAGGAAGCATAGACTGAAGCTCATTGTAATTCTGATTTATTCTCTCTCTCATTCTCCGTTCTCTATTTCTCTGATCAGTTGTTCCTTTTTCGCCATCTTCTTCTCGTTTTCTGCAGCTAGAACCTTTCTCTTTACTCACAAAAACCTCATGCAAAGGTGACATTACTGGAGGTTCTGCTTTTGAAGGGACAGAAGGGTCACCACTGTAACCCGCCATTATTGTTTCCTTGTCTTCCATTGTTGAATGTAGCGAGAGAATCTTGTAGCAGTGATTTTTTGTAGGAATATATTTCAGTTGTACTGTACTGTACCGTACTTCTTGTTATGATATTCTTTGATTTTGCATATCTTTTTCATGATTAACTTTCTTTTACTTGGTGATTAGGCTATTTAAGCCATACCCTCTGATTTGATAAGGCTGTCAGCAGAATTATCATCGTGGCGATTTCAAGGTTTTGAATTTTGATCACAAGGAGCCACAAAACATGTTCACATATTTTGCTCCCTCCATTTCCATGGACTCCATTTCCATGGAAGCAAATTAATATAAATACGGCCAATCTCTCAATGTTTTTAAGTTTTTATATACTTTGAATCTGAATATTATATGGATATTAATGTAACAATATCACATTAATTGTTAATGGAGGTCAACTTGAATTGGGTGGGTCACTTCTGCTAACAAAGACCCCCCTTCCCTCGGGAATCGGGATAGTTCATCTCCCACCCCGCCCCGTGTATATATATATATATATATATATACACAAACACCCTTATAATACTCTTATCCAATCATTAAATTACATATATTTTATATTGTTCTTTGCTTGGTAATTTATTTGTTTTATTTATGATTCTTGGTTTTATTAGCTGATGGTGTTTATTCTTACAAGATATTTGCCGGAAATCATTAAATTACTGAATTAAATTTGAGCTGATTGGTTTAAAATATTAGATGTTGCATTTTTTCACAATTGAATTGATGTATAAAGTTGGTTTCAATTTTGTAACAATTTTATTTAGTATCAATTCAGTGAATAGTGATTACAAATGGTTTTAATTTCATTTTTTGATTTGGGCGGGGTGGGGGTCCAAAATTCCCGGCGAGGCGGGGATGAGGATTCGTCGACATCCTCGTAACGGGGATGGGGAATGTCGTTGCCATCCCTATACAATTACTAATATATTGATATATCATTCATCTTTCAACTTCTAAAAAAAAAAAAATTAATAAATATTTAGTCAACCTTTTAATTTCAAATATCTATCAATATTAATTTTCTAAACATTTCTTTTTTGTTCAGATGCACTCCTATATATAGGTTTGATAATGTAATCCCACATTTCTGTGCTTTCTTCTCTCCAGGTCTATTGGGCCTGTGTGTTCATTTTGCCCAAGCCAGTGACGAAATTAATAGAAAGAATGATGCGCCACTTCCTTTGGGCAGGGAACAAGACGATTAAGGGAAAAGAAAAAGTCGCCTGGACTCCTAAAGCAGCTGGAGCCTGAGGTCTGGGCTTAAAACATCTAAGCATCTGGAATACTACCCTTATGGTTTACCACATCTAGTCGGTGGTCACTCACAAGAGCACGTTATGGGTCAAGTGGATTCACACAATTCGCTTGCAGGGCAGAAGTATTTGGCGTGTCTGCATCCCTCGGGACGCCAGCTGGTCTTGGCGGAAAATTCTGGGGGTGAGGGATAGCATTCGGCGACATGTGGGAATTAGTTTGAGCGATGGACAACTCGTCTCCTGGTGGTATGACCATTGGCACCCCTGTGGCTCTTTGTACAACATTGTCCCAGCTCAAATTTTTATAGGTTGGGACTTAATCATGAGGCGACTGTTTGCAAAATTGTGGATGGAGGCAGGTGGGCCTGGCCCGATCACAGATTAGCTCCCAGATGCCTCCCTGCCCTCAAGGTGGTCCCCCTGAATTGATAAATTCTTTTGGCGAAACAAAGAGGGTCAGCAAGTTGGATTTTCTACTGGGCAAGTCTGGAAGGATATATCTCCAGAACAAGCAGTTGCCCCCTGGCATGGGTTGGTTTGGACGAACACGCACTTCTATATATAGGTTTTATCAGCTAATGATGTTTATTCTTACAAGGTATTTGCTGGAAATCATTAAATTTGAGCTAATTGGTTTAAAATATTAGATGTTGCATTTTTCATAATTGAATTTGATGTTTGGATCCATGTATAAAGTTGGTTTCAATTTTGCAACAATTTTGTTTAGTATCAATATATTCAATTCGGTGAATAGTGATTACATTTGGTTTTAATTTTATTATTTATTTGGGCGGGGCGAGGCGGGGATGGGGTCCAAAATTACCCGTAAGGTGGGAACAGGGATTCCTTGCTACCCTGTAGCGGGGGCTGAACGGGGATGGGGGAATGGTTTCGGGATGTGGACGGGGAATGGGGTCCCAGCCCTGTTGTCATCCCTATAAATTACCAATATATTGATCGACCATTCATCTTTCAACTTCTCAAAAAAATGTATTTTCCTAAGATTCATGTCTCATTTGATTCCAAAAAGTAAAAAAACTGTACCTAAAAAAAAAAAAAAAAAAAAAAAAATTCAAATATCTATCAATATTTATAATTTTCTAAACATTTCTTTTTTATTTAGATGCACTTCTATATATAGGTTTGATAAAGTAATCCTACAGATTACACCTAATTAAAAATCCAAGAACCGAGACAACAATGAGCATACATTTAAAAGAAAGAAAATAAACAAAATCAAACCAAGTAGGCATAAAAATAAAAAGGGGCAGAAACATGAAAAGGTCTCCATGAAAGCATTCATGGTGTTCAAAGTTTCTAGTTGGGAATGTTGTGAGCTCCCAAAGCTTGAAGGGCAACCAGCAAGAGCAACGCCAATCCACCAAATAGAGACAAGCCAACTGCAGCGGCAGCTTGCTCACAGAATTTCCCAAAAACATTGCAAACTTTATGCCATTGCACATGTGAATTTCCTGTGTACCCCAAGACACCGATGGCCCCGGCCGCGCTGCTGCTGGAAAATAGCAATGCCACCATCACTAGATCAAGAATAACGATGATCGAAGCTAAGCCCCTCTTTCCGCCCCCCTTGTTCGCAATCAAAACAAACAGAGACACTGCTGCATACGAGCATGCGATAAGAGTTGCCACCATATGATATCTAAGAAAAAAGAAAATTAGCAATTAATATACAACTTTGCTAACTATCAATATTGCAATTTACGTTGACGTTGAAGCTCATAATTAATGGCCCATTATAGTTGGGATATTAATTAAAACGGAGAAGATGACAGCTTGGTGTTGCAGCTGCAATGAGACAACTAGACAACGTAGCAGTTGGGTCAGATTTCAGGGCAAGAGGGTAGTTGGTGTCATTTATATTGGTTCGATATTGAGGAAAATTTTCTTGAAAAGTTTTTTAGTTTAATCCATTAATTAAATCTTGTTTCTAAGTGAATTATATCACACAGAAGACAGAAAAGATATGAAAAATTAATTATAAAAACTTATAATGGAAACAATAACTGAAGAACAAAAGAGGTTTACATTGAAACTTGATATTTCCTTTTGATGATCCTTAAAATTACAGATAGTTTTGGATTTATTAACCATAGAATTCGGGTTATATATTCAGAATTATTACTACAATATGGTCCAAAAATAATTAG